TTCATCCCCTTCTCCCCACCACCACAAATAACCCCTTAATCATTACCGCCTTTGATTGACTACATCCACATTAAGCCTCTGTCAAGCGAAGAACCGACAACAGTTTGAAATCCATGATATGACGACTTCATATCTCCTTAAAACACTTCTAATCTAAGATAATTTATTTTGACGGACTTTCGATAAAACAAAACAGTGTACGTGAAGTTTTGAATTTAAAAAAAATATTTAACAAGTTTGTGGTTCATTTTTTATGATTTTTCAAGTCTTTGAAATCTGTGTGATAAGGGTGTGGTTAAACTAGAAATAGCGGTATTATTTCAATTTATAATCACACCACCACAACAAATGGTTTATTTTGTATATTATCATAAATTTTTATATTTTAGCATTTACTGTACAAACAGTTTCATCGCAAAAACTGTGAAAATGTGATTCATTATTATTGTAATAATATTTTTCTAACACTATTGTGGGTCAAATAAGAAAATCTTTTGTTAACTTTAATTAATTTAAATGGTTTAGATTTCATTGGCAAATATTAAATTGAAATTAAATTTGATATTCAAGTTATTTAGTTTGATATATAATAACAATATAAATCCTATCATAATATAATGATAGTTTCATTTGTTTGCTTTTGCAATTGAATTATGACTATTCAATTATAATTTACATTCATAATTTTATTGTATATATTATTTTAAATAATTTTTTTAATTTCATTTTAATTGTAATTACATTACTTTAACTGTTCAACAGTTCAATTTTAAATAATATTTTTGCATACACTATTATTGTTTGTTCGACGTTTTAAACTTTTATATTAAATTCAAACACAAATAAAATTAGTGAAAAAAATTGAAAGAGATTCATCATGGCCCGTTCGAAATTAAAAACTATTCTCAGCGGAACTATTTATTAAACCCCATGCCTGTAGACATTTAATATTTTCCTTAAATCTTTTCGAAAATTATTCACTCAATACAATATATATTTTATTCTTTACGTTAAGAAAACTACTACGGGGAAAACCGAAAAATAACCTCTTCAAAGTAAGGTACTATAATTTAGACTATATATATCCAGATTCATAAAGTTGTTACCTGCGAGAAGAGAGTGAGTACTCTTTGAGAGCGTTTTATCCTGCACGAAAAAATGTTTACGGAAAAATATTATAAAAAAAAAAATATATATTATATTGTTGTAAAGTCAATATTTATTCACAGTCCTAAGAAACAATATACTTCCATGAAGTTTAGTAAATATATTGAACGCAAAGACTTTTTAGGTAGGAACATTTAAATTATTCTATATTATTCACTTATCAATTCTAGTTCATACATTACTAATTAAAATAATAATTATTCATTGGAGACATTTATTTGTGTTATCCGAGCATATTTATTAGTCTTCCAATAAAAACATAACGAGGCAATTCATTATAACGTTATTATATGGTTTGAATTATTTGATTTTTTTTTTTTATATCGCTATTTGTACTGATACAAACGGTTTCTTTTTTCTTTAGCATCCATCGATGGGCCCCAAGTTTGGAATTCAAATTTAATCAGCAATACCTCCCTATATGACACTATTTTCGAGCCAATAGTCGTATATTATGTCGTAGTTTACCCTAAATTCCCTCACGAAATACAGAAGCGTAACCCTACTGCAGTCGTGTTATTTAGCAACGGATAGGGTGTGCGAGGATAATATTTTATTCAGTGCCGAGATTGTTTATTGTAAATCAATGACCTGATGAAATATTAATCCTGCCAAGAGTAGGTAGGTGTATATCCTCGAGTAAATCTCAGATGCACGTTACTTCTCAGCCTCTCGGCGTCAACAAAAAAAAAAACCACCTCCACCGGCGCCACCGCCGCCGAAACCGCCGCCGCCGCAGGTTTATCGAATCATTAATGCATAAAACGGTACCTATATAGGAACGACTGAAATTAATTACGCATTAGCTGTGATAACTACTTACACGCACGAATCGTCGTGTTAAATAAAAGACGGTTGGAGGATATCAATATTTTACGTTGATTTAAAATTTCCGTTTTGTACCATTCTGGACCTATCTCAATACTAGTGTTTAGTGGGTCACTACAAAACTGACGTACGTGTAATAAATTACCATATTTGTATTTGTTTCTATCGAGTGACAAGTAAATGGTGGGAAAAATCGATGAAAATTCCCGTCGTTCCATAATTCCTTAATCGTTTCGCTATATTAATTATTATTTAATCACGAATTTAAACTAAAATGAAATAATAATAAAAACACGTTAATCGAAGCGGATGTATGCGTTCAGTATTAAAATAATAATAATAAACTATGGAAGTCACTAATGCGGGTTTGAATTAAATAAAATCAACAACTGTTTATCTCAAAGTTCATAAAATAAAATTATATCTATAAACCAAATGTAAGCAAAACTGACTAACAAAAAAAAAAGTTGAATAATTAATAAAGTAGATTGCACTGTGCTTATTACTAATCATGATAGTTATGTTTTTGCTTAAACTCCGAGACAACATAAAATATCTATGTATTTGTATAATACAACAAAATATAATATTATGAAGTATACTTTTTTTTAATTTAAAACACAACTTTCCTGATTGACATTTACCAATCAATATCAACACATCACCGTCAGTATTGGATATTATTTAGTTACAGGAAGATATATTAATTGATAAATTATCTATTTTCAGTTAATATAAAATTACTTTTTATGATGATCAGACCTGCCAGTTTTGTTTTTGTTTTTTTAAGAGAAACTTTTTTCATTAAAGTATGGTATCTAATAAAAGTAATTTAAAATTGGTTCGTAGTAGATACACAATATTATGCGTTATTATGTAGGAGTAAATGGTCGTGTACTTATTATGAACGAATTACTTAACTTTGAGAGTAAAGCGATCGGCTTCGTGGATACCTAATTAAACGCATTTTTTTGTACTTTCATATTATAACGATATTGTCCTTACTTACCAGAGTTAATACTGAAACGACACCACCAAAGAGCGATATTGCAATCTTATCAGATAACAAAAATGCACCGAGCAAATATTCAAAACAATCATATTAGGTACCAATTCATTATTGACCTTTGATCACATATTAACTTCCAGTCGTCTCGGTTGTGTCAGCAGTATTTACGTGGTCGAGGTCTTTTCTAAACATTTCCCGGGTCCGAGTACTATTTTGAGCACGTACGACACCCCACGGTTTGTTAAGGTTATGCACGCGCGTGGATTATTTTGTTAAATCTAAAATGTGTGCCTATACACTTAGTTTGTGAAATAATAATTGTATTTTTCTTCAGCGGATTCATCTGATAACGGTGACGGTAAGGTTCTCTTAACTACTGCTGCCGCTGGACACGACTTGTCTCGTGAATAGTTCAACAACGCTTTTGAAACGTGTTGGAATTACTAAATACTATACATTTCAAACTTTCGAACTCCCCGCGACCACATTTTTGAATCGCAAACCACGCGATTTATCCAAAACTAATTTACCAGCTTAATGTTATAATAACGTTTTGAGATCCACGGTTGTCTGCGGCATTTGTGGTTATAATCAAGAAAATAATTCATACGTATTGAACGTATCGTATAAGATCGATCTCCTGACGATGAAACAACAGCACAATAAGTTTCAAAAAATAATCGAATTCATTCTTGGATAAATTGAAAGTAACAAGTAAATTAGTTTAAAATAGCTATTAAAATGCATTTTGTACTAAGCTTTTTTTGCAACTCTTATAATATACATTATACATAATTAATCTTAATTCTGACCTATTCCTTATTAAATTATTAATTACACAACGTGCTTTTCGCATGCTCTAGTTTATCATCGCCACAAATATTGAGAATTTGTTGTTTGTTAATTGTCGTTTATTTAAATATTTTTACTAACCGACAAATACCTGTTTACAACACCTGCATTTAATGGATTTTTTTAACAAAATAAAAATTAGTAGTATCGAGATAATCAACAAAATTATTAAAATACTCAATAATATAGAGCTAAAACAATACTAGTCCTAGGATATTCTTAAAAAATATTTTATATGATAATAATAGTATTATGTATTTAGACGTATGATTTAGTTCTTATTAAAAACTTACAAATATTTTATCATCATAAAATACATAGAGAACAGATAGTAAGAAATGTATAAATTAATAATTTCTTAAATTAAAAGATTTCTAATAACTATTGCTTAGGCAGATAATTAAAAAATAACTCACGTTGACGCATGTGGCCATTATTTTCTTTCTTTTTTTTTTCTCTTAGTCCAAAATAGTTTGACAAATTAAAAACACAAAATACCTAAAAGTGTGCACATAATGTTTTTGACGCTACGTCCTTTTTACAAGAAAAATTCAACGTTTGAAAATTACGTTGTATTAGTGAACGCACTTACGAGGTGGGGTAAACTTAAACTTCGGCAGGCGGTTGTTTCGAGCCGGTGTATTCGTTCGGTACTGGGGACATGTACCGAATAGTAGTCGCCGCCACCAGCGCCGTCACCGCTCTCGTGGTCCAATCATTCAGATTTTGGTTACCACGGTAACGTCTTCATCGCTGTCCCCGCTGCAGCAGTTTGCGCTGGTCGACGGTATTATGGTATATTTTGCGATACCACTAACGGTATAATATAGTGTGGTTATTTGCAATAATTTATTTTAACACCGGAATTTAATGCTCATTTACTGTTGAACCCGAGTATTGGGTTGGGGATCGTCGTTAATTTGAAAAAATAAGCAAAAATATTATACTATACCGGAAACCAAAAACGATTGTTAAAAATGAAAAAATAAAAATAATGATATGTTATGAATTTGATTAAAATGCAATAAATGTATGAACAAATCAAAGAGAATACCAATAAAGGATTATGTTAATATCGATTAAATGAAAACAACTACAATACTTTATTAATGGATAAAACAAAAAATAAATAAATTGTCTGTAGTAAATATCAAAATACATTTAATAAAAAAACATAAAAACATGTATGCAAACTATATCAAATAAACACATTAAACATTATTATATAGTGGTAGGTAACTGGTAACGATGATTGGTAACAATCTTAATTACAAAAACACTTGAGCAATTTAAATAAGTCATACATTTGATTGGCCAATTTAAAAATTAAAATGTCTTTACAAAGCAATTATTTTAAATTAACGTTTAATATTAACGTTTCTTCTGAGATTCCGGTTGATTTTGTAGTTCACGTAACACATCATCTCCTAAGCTGTCTAATGCATCCAAGTTTTCGTTACCAATTTCATTTTTCAACTCCGATTTCAATTGACGAATACCAGACTCTACATCTCTCCTTTGAATATTAAAACCATTTAAAGCTGTAAACAAACCAAAATATTAACTTTTAAACAAAAATAGATGCACACATAGAAAAAATTATGAATATTTTTAAGATTCATTAATTAAGATGTAGTTAATCTAAGGGGAAGCTATGATTGTTTTACCTTTACTAAACAGATCCAATTGCTGCTGACCACCAAAACTATCATCTGTAGATACATATGATGGATACTGGGTAGTCACTTCTTGAATGAAATTATTATTTGCTTGTTCATATTTTATTGGTTCCAAAGGGGGTAAGTACGTAGGTGGATATTGAGTTGACGAAGGAAATTGTGGACATCTTGGATCTGGGGATCCAGGATAACATACTAGTGATTCTTGAGCAGGACATCGAGGATCTGTGGAACCGGGATAACACAGCGGTGGTGGAATAGGTCTAGGAGTTGAAGTATTGCATACACAAACAAAAGGTGTTTGAACAGGTTTAATTTGTGGACATCTTGGATCAGTTGAGCCAGGGTAACACGCTGGTGGTGATGGTGTTGATGAGGGTGGGTAGTAAGTTGGTGGAGATGTTGGTTTAGGACATCTAGGATCGTTCGATCCTGGGAAGCAAACTGGTGCTGGAGTGGTTGGTGGCAATGTCGGTTTCGGACACCTTGGGTCGTTTGAGCCAGGATAACAGGCTGGTGGTGATGGTGTTGATGAGGGTGGGTAATAAGTTGGTGGAGATGTTGGTTTAGGACATCTAGGATCGTTGGATCCTGGGTAGCAAACTGGTGCTGGAGTGGTTGGTGGCAATGTCGGTTTCGGACATCT